GACTCATGTCAGGCCGCAGGTGCTTCATTTGTTCGACCTGCTGGGGCAGTGCGACGACGCGAGGCTCGGCGCCGAGCTGCTCGGGGAGGCCCAGCTGTCGTCGGCCGTCGTCGGCTCCGCTCTGCTCGCAGGGAGTACGGCACTGCTCGAGGTCGAGGACGCCGTGCGGGCCTTTGCTGACAAGGTTGGTAAGCAGGAGCGCACCAAGTCTTGGCAGCGGTGGCAGGCCTGGGCGAAGGGCGCCGTGCTCAATGGAGGCCGTGATGCGCACACGTTCAGCAAGGAGCATGTGGCGCTGGAGGGGCCCGCTGGGGCCCATGGTGAGGCGCTCCAGGGTGACGCCGCAGTTGATGCGCTGCTGGCCGAGTGGCAGGGCTACTGGTTCGACGGCAAGGCTCCGCTGGCGGCTTCCTTTCTGGAGGCAGCTGACAAGGTCACCCTCCCGAGGCCGAGCCTGGTGCGGTTGAAGAGGGTGCTGCAGCGCTTCAACCACAGCACAATGTTGGGGAGCGACTGCGTGAACCCGCGGTCCTGGCTGCTCTTGGACGACAGTTTCTTGGTCCGATTGTTGGATCTCTTGGAGCTGTGGGAGAGTGCGCCGTCCTGGTCCGAGCTTTGGCCGACTTTGATAATCTTCATCGGCAAGGAGGGCGGCGGCCTGCGGCCGATCGCGCTGATCGCCAGCCTGCTGCGGGTGTGGAGCCGCTTGCGGCAGGACATCGCCCAGGAGTGGGAGCGCGAGCACAGGCTGGCGGCGTTCTGGGGCGTGCGTGACAAGTCGTGCGATCGGGCAGGCTGGGAGCACAACTTGCTCGGCTATTACGGGCACTGCATCGGCATGGAGTCAGGCACGCTTTTCACTGACTTAAAGAAGGCGTACGAATACGTCTCGCACCAGGAGCTCGGCGAGCAGGCAGCAGCTGTCCAGTTCAACTTGAAGGTGATGCGTGCCGCGTGCGCCCTGTGCAGCGGGCCGAGGGCGATCACCTTCCAGGATTGCTGCTGTGCGGTGTTCGCGGTGCCCGATGGCACGGTCTTGGCAGGCTGCAGCTTGACCGCGACGATGATCAAGGTGCTGCTGTATCAGCTCTTCGTGGGCATCCAGCGGGACCATCCCTCGGTGGTGCTGCGCAACGTGGTGGACGACGTGTCGGCGCAGAGCATCGGCACCGTGTCCCACGTCGGCGAGCAGCTGGGAGCAGTAGGCATCCGCTTGGCCAGCGGCTTTGCGCGCCTCCGCCTGCGTCTGGAGGTTTCGAACAGTTTTTTCCTGGCCTCGTGCAAGGCCGTTGCTGATCGTCTGTCCGACGAATGGAGGGCTCTTGGGTTTCGTCGGAAGGGGGTTGCTCGTAATTTGGGGACAGACGCAGCGAGTGTAGGGCGCAGGTGTGCCCCGATAGCGAGGCGCAGGCTTCTCAAAGGTTTTCGTCGATCCAGCCGTCTGCGCAAGCTTCGCGAGGCCGGCGCCAAGATAGGTTCAGTGCACCGCTCGGGGCCTCAAGCTGGGAGTCTTTGGGGGGCGGCGGTGATGGGTCTGACGGGTCGGGGATTGCATAACTTGAGGCTCCAGGCGGTGCGTAGCCTTTTCAAGAAAAAGCAGACCTCATCTGTTGGGCTCCGTTTGCTGTCTTGCTCTCTCGGAGCGCAGATCGACCCTGCAAAGTTGTATCACGGCTCGGTGCTCTTTATGTGGGCCAGGGCCGTCTGGGGAGGTTCCCCGAGTTTGGCGATTTTGCAAAAGTGTTTTGAGCACGCCCGTTCCCACCTCCAGGCGTCGAAGAGCCCTTGGGGGGTGGCGTGATCGCCTGCCCACGTCCTGCTTCTTTCCCTCTCTGAGCTGGGGTGGATGGGGGATTCTGCTCGGTTCTTCGTTTCTGAGAGAGGAGAGAGGCTGGACCTTCTCAGGTTTGCTCCGAGCCAGGTCAGGATGCTAGCTGAGCGAGCTGCCTTAGCCCGTTCGGATGTGGTGGCGCTGTCTCGCCACCAGCGGTCGGGCGCTTGGCTCATGCCGATTTTCTGGCAGGCTCTGCGTCAAGCCCTGGAGGGGAAGAAAAATGCTGTCTGGTCCGATCATCACCAGAGCGCTTTGAGGTCTCTTGTCTCAATGGCCAGTTGGACCCAGCAAAAGCAGTGCGATCACGGAATCACCGCGTCTGGGATTTGTTTGGCCTGCCACGGCGAAGTTGGAACGCTCTTTCATCGTCGAGTGTCGTGCCCTGCCTGGTCAGCGTGCCGCCGTGACCTCTGCGATTCTCGAGCTCTTGCCGCGTTGAGGCAGGTGGAGTCTTGGGGTCAGGAATGCGAGCTCGCTGCTTGTGGCATTTTTCCTAGTCCTATCGACCTTCCGCCTGCCCCGCTCTATTCGTTCGACCCTGAATTTCAGATCTTCTGGGTTAATCGCCCTGCCTCGGGGCACTTGAGCGGGATTGTCTTCTCGGACGGCTCGGCGGTCCACCCAGATTGTGAATTCAGCCGTCGTGCGGGTTGGTCGTTAGTGATGACTGACGAGTGGGGGAGATTCCTCGCCTGCGCGTACGGTGCTGTGCCCGCTGACCTCGCCCCCTTCCAGCAGGCGCGGGATGGGGGGGGGGATGCTGCGATATTTTTCTCATGCGTGTGCGTCCAAGAGCCCGTGGAGTTTTATATCGACTGCCAGGGCACGGTCGATTGTTGTAACTCGCCGTCGTTCGCTCTTGATTCGTCGAATCCTCGGGCCCATCTTTGGGCGAGGGTGTTTCAGAGGTTCGATTCGGGCCTCGCGGCCCACAAGACTAAGGGCCATGCGACCCAGGGGGACGTGGACGCGGGGAGGACGACGGAGTGGGAGAGGAAGGGTAACGGCCATGCCGACCGTTTCGCCCGCCGCGGTGCGGGCTGTCACCCCGACGCGACTGCGGCCGCGGCCGACATCAAAGGTCTGGCTCGGCTCTCGCGCGCGTGCGCCGTCTGGGCAGGGACCCGGGAGGTGATGATGGCGCAAGGTTCTCTCCGTGACGCGGCTGACCTCCCTGGGCCAGCTGAAGACGACAGAGGCCAGGCCAGGCGCGCCCTCGCGCGCTGTCAGTCAGGCCGCGTGCCCGCCGCTTCTCTTGTCTCGGGCTCCAGGGGCAAGTTCATGTTCCAGAGCCCTTCCGTGACTTGCAGTGCTCAGGATTCCGAGTTGTCGCTGCTGCTGCAGCTCCTTGGGCACCAGTTGCGAGCCGCGTCCGTGTATGATGAGAATGGTGCAACTGTTCTCACAGGACCCAGGTGCATGGTTTGCATCGCCTGTGGTGGTTATGCGTGGGCCGCTGCCCAGTCACTGTCCAAGCCGTGTGCGACGAAGCCACCCACTAAGCACACGAGGCGCCAGCTCGCTCGGGCCTGGGGGGGTGATTTCCCGTCCTGGGGTGGCCCTTATAAGGGCTGGCGTCTCGGGCCGTTGTCGGAGCCCTCTGCCGCGGACTTGCTTTCCCTTGCCGCCCCTCGTGGTCTCAGTGGAGCGATGGCTCGGTCCTCCCGCCTGCCAGTGCAGCCTGTCTGGGGTCCCAGGTGGTCGCGCGTGGATTTGTTGAGACGTTTTGGGGTCTCGTCTGAGCAGCTCGAAGCTTGGAAGCGTTCGGAGCCAGAGCCTCTTTCCGATAGTGAGTGATCGGTTCGGGGGCGTAGCTCGGATCTTCCAGGGCTGGTCCCTTTGTCTGTTCAGGCGCCGCTGACATTGTCGCGCGCCTAAGGCGATAGATAGATAGATAGATGAGGAGGAGGAGGAGGAGGAGGAGGAGGAGGAGGAGGAGGGAGGAGGAAGGAAGAAGAGCCCCCCCCCCCCCCCTCTTGGACACCCCCCTCTTGGACGCCCCCCTCTTGGACCCCCCCCCCTCTTGGACACCCCCCTCTTGGCCGCTCCCGAGGAGAGGAGGGGGGTTGGGCTCGGAGATTCATGGGACCTCACCCTGCGCAGTCGATTGGCGAGCTCGTCCGTGTCGCCGTGTGCTGCGGCCGCCACTCTCGTGGGCCTGCGTCCGCGGAGCTCGCTCCCCGGGGCCGCCTTGCATCGACTGGCGTCTTGCCGGAGGGGGCTCTGCCCACCCGCGAGAGGCGCGGGAGGGGGGATCGGAGGAGATCGGGCGGAGGAGGAGGAAGAGAAGGAGGAGGGGGGCCTCCCTCCCCGCTTTTCCTGCCCCCCCCCTCCATCGTCCTCAAGGCTCGGTGGAGCCGAATCGGCGTCGGCAATGCCTCGGATGGAGTCTGGAGTGCCAGCTGCTGGCCGGTGTCGCTGCAGCGCTTTCGTTCGCCCTCGCGAAGCGACGGGCAAACAAAACGCTGCTCTTCTTTGTCTTCTTTTTATTCTTCTTCTTTTTCTCCTCCTTCTTCTTACTGTGGTCCCATGGGGCCGCTGAACGTGCTCCCTCCGAGCCCCCCGCGCGCTCCTCCTCCCGCCGCTCACACTGCCCACTGCGGCCACGTGCGTCCCTCGTCTGCCCTTCAGCACGCGGCGAGGATCCCCGCCGCCTCGACTCCACAAGAGTTCCGTGGGACCTTTCGGCGCGCCGGAGCCGCCCGTTGCGGGCACCGGGAGCCCGAGCGCGCAGCTCCGCGGAGCAGCAGAAGCCTCCCCCCCCAAGCCCCCCCCCAGAGCAGTGAAGGATCAGAGGAGGGAGGGAGGGAGGGAGGTTGGGTTCTCGGGAGTGGGATAGAGGGATGATGATAATGATGATGCTGCTGATGATGATGATGATGATGATGACGATGAGGATGAGGATTATGATGATGAGGATGATGATGATGATGCCGATGATGATGATGATGATGATGATGATGATGATGATGATGATGATGATGATGATGATGATGATGATGATGATGATGATGATGATGATGATTTTGCTGACGCTGATCATGGTGATGCTGCTGCTGCTGCTGATGATGATGATGATGATGATGATGATGATGATGATGATGATGATGACGATGGTGATGAGGATGCTGCTGGTGAAACTGATGACGTCGGCCTCGAGGAGCAG